AGTTCGGATATGTAGAGAGAATGGAGCGAAACAGAGTGACTTCAAGAGTGTATCAGTCTGTAGTGGAAGGAAGGCGGGGTAGGGGTCGGCCTAGGAAAGGTTGGAGGGAGGGGTAAAGGAGGTTTTGTGTGCGAGGGGCTTGGACTTCCAGCAGGCATGCGTGAGCGTGTTTGATAGGAGTGAATGGAGACAAATGATTTTTAACCCTTTCAGGGTTCAAGGCCCAAATCTGGAGTCACGCACCAGTGTCCAAGAATTTTCAAAAAAAAATTTTTTTATTTTTTCTTATGAAATCGTAGAGAATCTTTTTGTGAAGGTAATAAAACAAAAAGTACGAAATTTGGTGGAAAATTGACGAAATTATGCTCTCCGCGAATTTTGATGTGTCAGCGATATTTACGAATCGGCGATTTTGCCGACTTTGACTCCCATTTTAGGCCAATTACATTATTCCAATCAACCAAATTCTTAGCTATTTCACTAGTACTACTTCTATTCTATCGATTGAGCACAAGAAATCACCAAGTCAACTGTTTCAACTACAAAATAAAGTGATCGGAAATTGTTAATTTGGCCAATTTAACACAAAGTTCAAAATATTCCAATTTCAAAATAGGGTCCAGAATGAACAATGTAGGCATTCCTGGCACTAAACTAACATTTCCTCTGTTCATTAGTTATGTTTTGAGGCTTTACAAATAAATTCCATTTTGATTTTTTATTCACATAATGAATTTTTATTCACACCAAAAAATAGAAGATTTACTGTTATGCAATACTGTAATAATTGTATAAATATCATCACCATATTTGTGAATGTATATTAGACCCACCAGCTGACGTGTATTAGACGTGTGAGGTCGTTTGTTTACTCTTGAATATCGGCAAAAAATTTAACATTTCCGCTACTTTGAGCTCAGTTTCAAGCCATTTCCAGTGCTAAAACCAATCAAAATCATCTCTATTTCTGTAATATGTCTTCCATTCTATCAAATGAGACCAAGAAATCGCAAATACAACTATAAAAAACATACGAAAAAACACTGCAAAGTTGCTGTTTTAATCGAAAAATCATGATTTCATTTTTTTTCTCTCATTATACACAGTGTGCTGCAGGATCTGTTTTATGTGGTGCACACATACCACATAGATGTATTCTCTCATATCTAGGCCCAAATGTACCACTCACAGTTTATCAGAGTGAGCTGAGCTCATGGCGTAGATCTACGGTTTGGACCCTGAACGTAAAGCCGTAGATCTACGGGACGGACCCTGAAAGGGTTAATACTTGACGTGCTGTTGGAGTGTGAGCAAAGTAACATTTATTTAGGGGTTCAGGGAAACCGGCAGGCCGGACTTGAGTCCTGGAGATGGGAAGTACAGTGCCTGCACTCTGAAGGAGGGGTGTTAATGTTGCAGTTTAAAAACTGTAGTGTAAAGCACTCTTCTGGCAAGACAGTGATGGAGCGAATGATGGTGAAAGTTTTTCTTTTTCGGGCCACCCTGCCTTGGTGGGAATTGGCCAGTGTGATAATAATAATAATAAATATTACAATATTGCATAACAGTAAATCTTCTATTTTTTGGTTTGAATAAAAATTCATTATGTGAATAAAAAATCGAAATGGAATTCATTTGTAAAGCCTCAGAACATAACTAATGAACAGAGGAGATGTTAGTTTAGTGCCAGGAATACCTACATTGTTTATTCTGGACCCTATTTTGAAATTGGAATATTTTGAACTTTGTGTTAAATTGGCCAAATTACCAATTTCCCATCACTTTATTTTGTTGAAAATGTTGACTTGGCGATTTCTTATGCTCAATAGAAGTAATACCAGTGAAATAGCTAAGAATTTGGTCGACTGGAATAATGTAATTGGCCTAAAATGGGAGTCAAAGTTGGCAAAATCGCCGATTCGTAAATATCGCTGACACATCAAAATTCGCGAGAGCATAATTTTGTCAATTTTCCATCAAATTTCGTACTTTTTCTTTTATTACCTTCAGAAAAAGATTCTCTACCATTTCATAAGAAAAAAAAAAAAAAAAATTTTAATTCTTGGACCCTGGTGCGCACTTTGAAATTTGGCCTCTGGACCCTGAAAGGGTTAAGACCATAAATATTTTAAGGTAAGTAATGAGTGTACTGTATGTGCATTTTATTATTCCAGGGCACTCTAAACATCACAGTATACAGTGGAGCCTCAGCTTACGAATTTAGTCCGTTCTATGACCTTGTTCGTATCCCGATTTGTTCGTAGGTTGAGTCAATATTCCTCGTTTAAATTAATTGAAATGGCATTAATCCGTTCCAGTGGAAATCCTGCTCTCAGGAGGCACGACAAAATACATACTTTAATATGACGCTAATATCAACTCTAGGCTTATTTATCACAGTTCATCTAATTTCACGATCACTCAAGGAATGCACAACAGGTGCATCATTGTCAGCTTCCTGTAACTCCATTAGCACACACTCAAGATGAGTAAATTGAATTGTCAATGCTTATTGCTTGGGTACATTTATTCTGTTAGTGGGTTGGATTTGTGAAGGACCTGCCAAGTATGGGCCAACAGGCCTACTGCAGTGTTCCTCCTTTATGTTATTATGTACCCACGACACCAATCATACCCAGCCCCTCTGACTCATATATTTGTCCAATCTCTTTTTAAAGCTACCCAAGGTCCTATTGAAGCTAAAACCTTGGGTAGTTTCAAATTTAGGTTGGATAATTACATATTACAGCTTTGTACATCATTAGTAAGGCCTCACCTAGATTATGCAGCTCCGTATTACAGAATGGACATAAATTCGTTAGAAAACATTCAGCGTAGAATGACTAAATTAATACATAGCATTAGAAATCTTCCTTATGAAGAAAGATTGAAGACCCTTAAATTACATTCACTTGTTAGACAAAGAATGAGGGGAGACATAATCAAAGTGTATAAGTGGAAGATGGGTATTAACCCTTAAATGGTCCAAACGTATATACTATACGTTTTTTCAACATTTGAAAGTATGTAAAAAAATGTAGATCTTCTTTCTTGTTTTACATTTGAAACTGTGTAAAAAAACGTAGATCAACTTTTGGAGCACTACGGATTTGAACATTGATCTGTTTGGACCATTTAAGGGTTAATAAAGGGGACATTAATAAGGTCTTGAGGATATCTCTCCAAGAGAGAACCCTCAGTAATGGATTTAAATTAGACAAGTTTAGATTTAGAAAGGACATAGGAAAGTATTGGTTTGGAAATAGGGTAGTTGATAAGTGAAACAGTCTACCTAGTTGGGTTATTGAGGCTAAAACCTTGGGTAGTTTCAAATTTAGGTTGGATAAATACATGAGTGAGAGGGGTGGGACTTGCATATGGGTGGATAGAGTTATCAGAGCTTATTTCTTGGGTAGTTTTGAAAATTTGGTTGGGTAAATGTTTTGTTAGTGGGATGGATTGTAAAAGACCTGCCCAGTATGGGCCAACAGGCCTGCTGCAGTATTCCTCCTTTCTTATGTTCTTATGAGTGAGAGGGGTTGGATGTGAGTGGGACTTGCACATGAGAATTGAATTATCAAAGGTTATTGCTTTGGGTAGCATTGAAAACTGAGTTGGGCAAATATTCTGTTAGTGGGATGGATTGTGAAGGATCTGCTTAATATGGGCCATGGAAATAAATGGTATAAAATACCAACACAATGGAAATATAAACACATATGCAGTATAATGTGATCCTTTATTGACAATGTTTCGACCCCACAATGGGCTTTTTCAAGTCACAAACAGAACTACCTGGGTGGAAGATACGAGAGTATTTATAGTCAAGTTGAGAATGCTGCACGTGATGATCTACCGAGTGGGGTTATAGTCTAAAATCTTGGGTAGCTTGGAAGAGAGATTGGATAAGTATATGAGTAGACCTGCAGTGTTCGTCCATTCTTATGTGGGATAGCAATGAAAAAGTTTCTTGGCAAGTGGTTCAGCTGTGTTATTGAAGCCGTTGTTCTGGTTGAAGTTGTTGGATGTAGAGATGATTCCAGGATTCTTCAGTATTGGGCCAACAGGCCTGCTGCAGTGTAGTATTATTAGTAGTACGTACGTATTATTACAATAATATTATTAATAATAATTTAGGGAATTGGAGCACAGATCTAATTCCCTAGATCAAGAGCCCCTCACCCAGGAATCTCCCTCGAGGGGGGAAGTTCGCATCCTGAAATTTCGTTCATATCCAGAAACAAAAATTCGACCGAGCGACTGTTCATATCCTGAAAAATTCGCATGGTGGGGCATTCGTAAGCCGAGGTTCCACTGTATGTATTATGTGTGGGTGGGGTGGCCAGGAGGGCTACCATACCTACCACGCCTGACTTCTTACAATAAATACTACTCACTTTTTGCTCTACATTATGACTACAAATATTTTGAGGTAAATAATGAGTGTACTGTGTGTGTACTGTATTTTACTTTTTGTTGTTTTTTAATGCCTAGTTCTATTGCTAACTTAATACAGCCTCTCCTCACTTAACGGTGGAGTTCTGTTCCTAAGACCACGTCAGTAAATGAATTCGTCACTGAGTGAGGAGCATACTATAATGGTAGTGGGTTTGTGTCAACCATCTTCGATAATGTTTTAATGTCACCTTTGAACTATTTAAAACATTTCTGGTATATTTTTAAATGTTTATACAGCAGTGTACTGTATATTGTAATAAATAGAATAGAGAAAATCAGCTCTAATATACATTATTTAGGGATGCATACTTGTCAGAGAGCCTGTCTTAAGTCGCTAAGTGAGGAGAGGCTGTATATATTAGTGTAAACTTGTTATCTGGCATTTATATGCATTTGTAAGTGGAAAAAATGGCATTCTGCTTTCAGATGGTAGCCTGGAACTTAACCTGCCATATAAGTGGGACCCTACTGTCAATTTAATTAAGCCTTTCCAAGTACAGTAATTTCTTGTATGTTTTACTTTGTTATTTTACCTTTTATAGGATGGAGGGCTATTTGTAAATAACCCAACTGCAATTGCTGTACATGAAGCCAAAAAACTGTGGCCAGATGTTGACCTTCAGTGTGTGGTGTCTGTAGGCACAGGCAGACATGAGCCTATTGCAAATACTAGTGAGACGTCCATCAGCTGGGCTACACGCATCAGAACTGTTCTAAACAGCGCAACAGATACTGAAGGTTAGTTTTGCTGAATTTTCCAAGATAGTTTCCTCATATTGAAGATTTTTATCTGGCCTTATTGTCCATGGTGATGATATTGTGGAAGATGCACATTTAACTTCTTATTGACTACATTATTATTTTTGTCATTCCTGTCACTAATCATTTTACAGTCTGTAAATTCTGTACAGAATAAAAAAAAGAGTCTGCTCAATAGTAAAGTGGAGATATGTATATGAATGAATTATTTCCTTCAAAAAACTTTTGCATTGGTATTGTGCTACAGTGTGGATGAAGCCAGAGAAAATACAATTCTCAAGGAACTGAGCACACCACATACTTTTTCCATGGTCATACAGTACTTCAGTAGGCAATCACAGATAACACCACAATCCCATCTTTCTCATAACTAACTTGTGTAAAGTGCCCCAGGACACAACTAAGATCATATTCCGACTACATGACAAGTCATTTATTAATAACTTTATTTCAGCATTTAGTGACATTGACTGGCGTAACAAACTAGCAGACAACTTAGATATTGATGACTGTGTTAATATTTTTTTTTACAAAAAACCCAAAACCTCTATAACATACATTGCCCCAAAAAACTAAGCAGATCACAGCAAAGAGACTAAACAGCCCCTGGCTTACAAACAGTATCCTCAAATCTATTGACGAAAAACAGTACAGAATGGGTCTAATAACAAAGGATCTCATGAAACGTTACTTGTCAGTACTAATGAATCTAATAAGGAGGTCCAAAAAACTGTATTATGAAAACAGATTTCATGACATAAAAGGTGATATGAAAAAGATACCTGGAAAATCTTATCTGAAATTCTAGGATCAAATAACAGAATGATTACCTTAACTAAACCAGACGAACCTCTCCTTCAGCCAACCAATACTGCCAACAAACTTAATGTCTTTTTCTCTATTGTAGGAACAAACTAGCAAGTAAAATCCTAAGCACAAACATTCAGCCATTAGACTACCTCACTGGCAACTACCCAAATACTCTATTTTTAGCCCCAACAGACCCTACTGAAATCTCACTTATCATCAAAACACTGAAGAACAACAGGAGACCTAAATAACTTACCACCACTCATGTATAAAAAAGCTTCTAATGTGTTGCACCAATTATTGCAACTCTTTTTAACAAATCCATTGAATCTTCCACCCTCCCAAGACAGCAAGAGTCACCCCAACTGAATTGAACTTGAATGACTATAGGCCTATATCAAACCTGCCCCTACTATCTAAAATCTTCGAAATATTAATTCTCAAACAAGTCTTCTCCTTCGTATCCCACAACACACTCAACCCTTGTCAGTTTGGGTTCAGACCAAAAAAAAAAGTACTAATGATGCTATTATACATATGCTTGAATTAATATACTCTGCACTCGAGAAAAATTAATTTCCCTTGGGACTTTTCATAGACTTACGAAAGGATTTTGATACAGCTGGCCATGATCTTTTGCACCAAAAACGCGAACATTATGGGGTCAGAGGACACACTCGATTACCTAAAATCTTAACAATAGAGCTCAGTATGTATGCATATATGGAGCCATCTCCACTACACAACCTGTTCTTGTTGGAGTCCCACAGAGAAGCATTCTTGGCCCACTTCTCTCATTTACATCATTGACCTACCAAACGCATCTAATCTCCTTAAACCCATTTTATTTGCAGATGACACAACTTCAGACACAGTAAATGCTAAACTGCTAAAAATACCTACTTGGATGATTACCAACAAACTTATTCTCAACATAGACAAAGCCTACTTCATGCTTTTTATAAACAGAGCTTCAAATGTACAGTTAAACATATTGATAAATGGTTTACTTATCTTGAGACAAGCAGAGGGCAGATTTCTAGGTTTCCACCTTGACTAGTCTCAAATTTCAGACATAGCAAATTTCCAAAACAGTAGGCATCCTTTCAAAGATATGGTACTATGTACCCCAATCAGCTCTTCTAGCTTTGTACCACTTTCATTTACCCTTGCCTCACCTATGGTATTTGTACATGGGGCTCAACCATGGCAAATCACCTTAAGCCTTTAATAACCCAGCAGAAAGCTGCAGTGTGACTGATTACTAACTCCTGCATTAGACAACACACTCCATCTTTTTTCAAGAGTTTTAACTTGCTAAGTATACAAAGCATCCACACTTATTTTTGTGCCTACTACATACACAGAACACTATACTCCAAAGTCTAATGTAAACCCTCCTTCTTGATAATTATAACAGAACACACAACCGTAATACGAGACACAGATCACTCTTCGATATCCCTCATGTTCATTTCTCCCTATGCAAAAATGCTATGCACATAAAAGGACCCCTGTTTGCAAATCAGTTTAAGGCCCTACTAAGAAATCACCTCATCACCTAAAATTAACCAGATAAACCGTACCTAATCACTACCAGTTTCTCAAAACTACTCATATTGTGCTGATGAATGCTCAACTACTTACTACTTCAAAATTAGGATGTCTCTTTTTCCATTGTTTTAAATAGTACTAAACTGTAATACATCACATTGTAAATTGTAATACTGTATTAACTAACTCAGTGGTGTAATAAGTCTCTACTAGACTCACTATCAGTCAGTCAATTTTATTTCTTTACAAGTAGTACATTGAGATTATGTATTTACAATAAAGAGTTGCAGTGCAAAGAGAGCCTCTATCATGCCTAGGCATTATGGGCAAACTTAATTTAATGGCTTACTGACTACTTGTTTAAGTTGTACAATAGAATATACAATTCTGCTGTACTCACTGTAACTCATCTAATCACCATATGAACTATGTATTATTGCCTTAATAATCTTAAGTTAGCCTGAAATGCTCTGCATGCAAAGGGGCTTTTGGCATGTACATTCAGCTATTATATTCCTCTGTACAACCATGTAATTTGTCAAAATAAACATCTTTATCTTTAATTGTGACTAGCCTTTCTTTGCTGTTGTGGTAAATAAAATTAATATTTTATCATCATTCATTCAGTTCAAGTTTGAAGATTTGTGGTTATAAAATGTATATTTACTAATTATAATTTTCTTAATACAATTTCTCTTATTAGGTGTACATACTACAATGCATGACTTGCTCCCCTTCAATGTGTATTATCGATTCAACCCATACCTCAGCGATGAAATAGGCTTAGACGAGATTGGCACAGAGCGCTTAGAATTAATGATGGAAGACACAAGACTCTACTTAAGAAAGAATGAAAAAAAGTTTGAGGAAGCTGCCCGAACTCTATCCAAAGTGAAAAATCCAATAGACCGTATTAAAGACTGGTATAAATATCAACTACGGATCTGGCCATCAGACTAAATTGAGTGCCAGAATTTTTATCTAGGTTAGGCAGGGCTTTGTCAATCATTGAATTGATCTATTCCCTATTAGGCAAAACATTTCCATAAGAATGTAACCTAACATTGTATACACAAATAACTGGCACTTAGCAGAGGGAAATTAATCATGATGTTTTGGTCCAACTGGGTTTGCTTGTTAGAAACTGGCCAGTCAGACCGAAATATCATTACTTTACCTCCATAGTACAGGTTATTTATTGTTCCAGTCAAAGTATTGTGACTTTTTATTCTAATATTGTATAAATGTCTTTTATACACTTGTGAGTACTGCTTATGTTGTTTGTAACAAGCCAGAACCTTTTGGAGCAGAAAAGAATGAGATTGTTAACCCTTTCGCTGTGTTGTAGTACTACGTGATGAGCTCATATTGCTCATAAGTTGTGAGTGGCAAATTTGGGCCTAGATATGACAGAATGGATCAATGAGGTAAGAGTGCACCATATAAAAAAATCCTGCAGTACACTGTGCATGAGAAAAAAAAAAAAACTTTTTTGGGTTTAAAATGGCAACTTTGCAGTGTATTTTCATATGGTTTTATGGTTGTATTTTTTTGGTCTCATTTGATTGGAATCTCCATGGGGAAGTAGAACAGAATTCTTCCTCCGTAAGCCATGCGTGTCGTAAGAGGCAACTAAAATGCCGGGAGCAAGGGGTTAGTAACCCCTTCTCCTGTATATATTACTAAATTTGAAAGGAGAAACTTTTGTTTTTCCTTTTGGGCCACCTCGGTTGGATACGGCTGGTACGTTGAAAGATGATGATTTGATTGGAAGATACATATACACTACCATCCGACTTACAACCGAGTTCCATTCCGAGAAACCAGACGTAAGTCGAAATTTACTACTGAATATCAAAGTCACATTTTTGTAATGACTATTTTATTGTTTTATTTTGGTATTTCATGTTTTACTTTACTTTTTATGCTGTTAGTACTGTATTTTATTATTATTATTATAATCAGAAAGAAGCGCTAAGCCACAAGGGCTATACAGACTGTATTTTATACTGTAAGGTTTAGGATAAACACTGTGTACAACCTAAATAGTTGTTTATTTTCCAGAAATTTGGTATAAAAAACTCAGTCGTAAGTCGGATGGTAGGTGTATTACAGAAATATTATTATTATTATAATCAAAAGAAGTGCTAAACCACAAGGGCTATACAGCATTACAGAAATAGAGATGATTTTAATTGGTTTTAGTCATGAAAATAGCTTGATATTGAGCTCAAAGTAGCAGAAATGTTCAATATTTGTGTCCAGTACACTTTAATTAGTCTATTTAATGTGTTTGCGAATGCGCTATTATGCAATGAGTAAATAAAAATTTAAAATGGAATTTGTGTGTAAAGCCTGGAAATGTAATGATATGTATATGCTTCTAAGCTGTTGTGTTCTGAGCACCTCTGCAAAAACAGTGATTATGTGTGAGTGAGGTGAAAGAGTTGAATGTGGATTTTCTTTCTTTTTGGGTCACCCTGCCTCGGTGGGAGACGGCCGACTTGTTAAAAAAAAAATGTTCATACACCTGGTGGGCTCTGGTGGCCTGGTGGTTAACGCTCTCGCTTCACACGGTGAGGGCCTGGGTTCGATTCCCAGCCAGAGTAGAAACATTGGACGTGTTTCTTTCCACCTGTTGTCTATGTTCCCCATCAGTAAAATGGGTACCTGGGTGTTAGTCGACTGGTGTGGGTCGCATCCTGGGACACTGACCTAAGGAGGCCTGGTCACAGACCGGGCCGCAGGGGCGTTGACCCCCGGAACTCTCTCCAGATAAACTCCAGATACACCTACCATCCGACTTACGACCGAGTTCGGTTCCGAGAAACCGGTCGTAAGTCGAACTTTAGTAAATACTGAATATCAACAAAACATTTTTGTAATGACTTTATTTCATGTTTTACTTTACTTTTTATGCTGTTTGTACTGTAAGGTTTAGGATAAACACCGTGTACAACACAAACACTTGTTTATTCCCCAGAAATTTGGCATAAAAAACAGTCGAAAGTCGGATGGTAGGTGTATTTTAGTGGAACCCCGGATTTCGTACTTAATCCGTTCCAGGTCATTCTAAATCTGAAAAGTACAAAAACCGAAGTAATGTAAATCCAATTAATCCATTCCAGATACCCAAAAATATTCACAAAAAAATAAAAATTTTTTAGAATAACTAATTTTACATACAGAAAACAATGAGAATTAATTTTTTTTTTTTTTTTCAACAAGTCGGCCGTCTCCCACCGAAGCAGGGTGACCCAAAAAAGAAAGAAAATCCCCAAAAAGAAAATACTTTCATCATCATTCAACACACTCACACATTATCACTGTTCTTGCAGAGGTGCTCAGAATACAACAGTTTAGAAGCATATACGTATAAAGATACACAACATATCCCTCCAAACTGCCAATATCCCAAACCCCTCCTTTAAAGTGCAGGCATTGTACTTCCCATTTCCAGGACTCAAGTCCGACTATATGAAAATAACCGGTTTCCCTGAATCCCTTCGCTAAATATTACCCTGCTCACACTCCAACAGATCGTCAGGTCCCAAGTACCATTCGTCTCCATTCACTCCTATCTAACACGCTCGCGCACGCTTGCTGGAAGTCCAAGCCCCTTGCCCACAAAACCTCCTTTACCCCCTCTCTCCAACCCTTTCGAGGACGACCCCTACCCCGCCTTCCTTCCCCTATAGATTTATATGCTTTCCATGTCATTCTACTTTGATCCATTCTCTCTAAATGACCAAACCACCTCAACCCCTCTTCTGCCCTCTGACTAATACTTTTATTAACTCCACACCTTTTCCTAATTTCCACACTCAGAATTTTCTGCATAATATTTACACCACACATTGCCCTTAAACAGGACATCTCCACTGCCTCCGTCTCCTCGCTGCTGCATTTACCACCCAAGCTTCACACCCATATAAGAGTGTTGGTACTACTATACTTTCATACATTCCCTTCTTTGCCTCCTTAGATGACATTTTTCGACTCCACATATACCTCAACGCACCACTCACCTTTTTTCCCTCATCAATTCTATGATTAACCTCATCCTTCATAAATCCATCCGCCGACACATCAACTCCCAAGTATCTGAAAACATTCACTTCTTCCATACTCCTCCTCCCCAATTTGATATCAATTTTTCTTTATCTAAATCATTTGATACCCTCATCACCTTACTCTTTTCTATGTTCACTTTCAACTTTCTACCTTCACTAATTTTAATAAATAAACATTACATACCTTTATTGAAGACTCTCGTTGGCGTATTGAAGAAGGCGAGGAGGGAAGAGAGGGTTGAGGTTATTGTTTGGGGGGAATCCCCCTCCATAAGGACTTCAGGTCTCAAATCCCTCTGTCTTTTACTGGCACTGGACCCCTGTCACAATAGAACTCTGTCCAGAGAGCTCAGTTTCTGGCATCTCTCTTTAATATTTGCCTAAAATTGGACAAGGTATTGTCACTGAACATGTTGCGGATATGGCTTGTATCAGCGTGATATTTTTTCAACAAAAGTTTGCACCTCATTCCACAGATGTCCTTAATCACTGAAGAAGGTACCTTCTCCCCTCCTCTGAAGCAATTTCCTAAGCTGCAGTCTGTTGCTGTTGCAGTTGAAGGTCTTGCAGCTCTTCAGTGGTTAGCTCTTCTCCCAACTCTTCCACATCCTGACCACTCACATCCAACCCCCATGGACTTCCCCAAAGACACAATACATTCCACAACAGGCACAGGGTCACCCTCAAACCCTTCAAAATCTTTGTCGAGGACACATTCTGGCCACAATTTTCTCCAAGCAGAGTTCAAAGTCCTGGAAGTCACTTCCTGCCAAGTGATCCCTCCAGAACTCTTTTAGGGTCAATTCAGTGTCCGAGGTCACTTCAAAGAACCTTTGAAACGTTGCTTTGGTGTAGAGTTTTTTGAAGTTAAAAATGACCTGCTGGTCCAGAGCCAGGAGGCACTCGAATGGTAATTTGTTTTCCAGGAGGTATTTTTTCACACTCAGGCCAAACACTTCATGGACCCAGTCGTGACCCATGCCTAATTATTAGCTTTCCACAACACACAATTTACTCTTGATGATATTGTTTTTCTTGAACACACTGGGATTTTAAGAGTGATACACCAGTAAAGGCTTCACTTTGAAATCCCCACTAGCATTACCACAGAAAAAGTGTGTTAGCCTATCCTTCATAGGCTTGTGTCCTGGCAGTGCCTTTTCCTCCTGTGTGATGTAGGTCCTCTTTGGCATTTTCTTCCAAAAGAGTCCTGTTTCATCACAATTGAACACTTCGGGGAAGGAAACCTTCAGTCTCTACATACTCCTTGAATTCATCAACAAATTCTTCAGCCACAGGTTTGTCTGAACTTGCAACCTCACCATGCCTTACAACACTGTTGTACCAGCCTCTGCCGGCCTTAAATTCACTAACAGCAGCACTCATTCCAGGCATTTTTTTTTGAGATCTGCATTCAACTGCCTTGCCTTTTCACAAATGATCGACTCCACAATATCTCCTACTAACTTTTTCTTTGATCCACACCAACAACAACTTCACATCTTTGATTGTTTGTTATCTCTGTTTTATTAGCATATTCACCTCTTTGACAATTTCTTCTTCTTATTCTTTTTAGTAATTATTACAGGAAAAGGGGTTACTAGCCCATTGTTCCCGGCATTTTAGTTGACTTTTACAACATGCATGGCTTACAGAGGAAAGATTCTTATTCCACTTCCCCATGGATATAAAATGAAAAGTACTAAGAACAAGAACTAAGATAAAATCCAAGAAAACTCAGATGAATGTGTATAAATAAACGTGTACATGTATGTTTAGTGTGACCTAAGTGTAAGTAGAAGTAGCAAGACGTACCTGTAACCTTGCATATTTATGAGACAGACAAAAGACACTAGCAATCCTACCATCATGTAAAACAATTACAGGCTTTCGTTTTACACTCACTTGGCAGGACGGTAGTACAGTGGTCCCTCAATAATCGTCCGGCCTGAAAGTCGTCCATTTCGGAAATAGTCCCGTTATTTCGTCTAAACATTGGCTTGCAAATACAAAGGTGGTGGTGGTAGAGTGGAATCAGTTGTGATAGTGGTTGATGGTGGTAACAGTGTAGAAGGTCGTAGTGATGGTGGTAGAGGGTTCCTTTAGTGATTCATAAGAACATAAGAATGGAGGAACACTGCAGAAGGCCTACTGGCCCATGCAAGGCAGGTCCTTATCAAAACGACCTCTACCTTAAGCTACCCAATGACACCAATCAAACCCAGCCCCTCCCACTCATATATTTGTCCAGTCTCTTTTTAAAGCTGCCCAAGGTCCTAGCCTCTATCACCCCACTGGAAAGACTGTTCCACGCATCTACAACTCTGTTAGAAAACCAGTACTTACCTATGTCCTTTCTAAATCTAAATTTATCCAACTTAAATCCATTATTTCTGGTTCATACCTGGTTCAACACCCTCAGTACTTTATTAATATCTCCCTTGTTTATGCCCGTCATCCACTTATACACTTCAATGATATCTCCTCTCATTCTACGCCTCTCCAGAGAGTGGAGATTTAAGGCTTTAAGTCTATCTTCATACGGGAGGTTCCTTACACAGTAAATCATTTTAGTCATTCTTCTCTGTATGTTCTCTAATGAGTCTATATCCATCCTGTAATAAGGGGACCAAAACTGAGCAGCATAATCTAAATGAGGCCTCACTAGTGATGTATAGAGCTGTAAAATAACTTTTGGACTTCTGTTAATTATACTTCTTGAGATAAATCCAAGTAATCTGTTGGCCTTGTTGTGCACACTAAGGCACTGCTGTCTTGGCTTTAGATTTCTGCTCACCATGACTCCCAAGTCCTTTTCACATTCTGTATGATCAAGCTCTACTTCACCTAGATTATAGCTTCGAGGGTTATTTTCATTACCAAGGGCTAGTACCTTACACTTATCCACATTGAACTTCATCTGCCATTTTTCAGACCAAGACATTAATTTGTCCAAATCCTCCTGGAGTTCATTGCTATCCTCCTCAGAGTGAATTATACGGCCTATCTTTGTATCATCAGCAAACTTACTCATGTCACTCGTAATCCCTAGTGACTAACCCCATTCAGATTTCACTCCATTAATGGTAACTCTCTGCTTTCTATTGGTAAGCCATGCCTCTATCTATGCCAGAACTTTACCTCCTATACCATGAGCTGCCACTTTTCTTAAGAGTCTCTTGTGAGGTACTCTATCGAAGGCTTTACTAAAATCCAGATAAACAATATCATATTCCTTATCACTGTCAACTGCCTCAAATGTTCTATTGAAGAATGTCAGTAAGTTTGTCAGGCAGGAACGACCTCTCGTGAATCCATGCTGAGATTCATTTATCAAGTTATGCTCTTCAAGGTGACTTCTAATAATGTCAGCTATAATTGATTCTAATAACTTGCCCACTATAGATGTCAGGCTTATTGGACAGTAATTTGAAGGAGTGGACTTATCCCCTGATTTGAATATAGGAACCACATTAGCCATCTTCCGCAACTCTGGCACAACACCAGTAAGGATGGACACATTAAACACACTCGTTAATGGCTGACTAAGCTCCGTCTTGCATTCCTTAAGTACCCTGGAAAACAACTCATCGGGTCCCGGGACTTATTTTGCTTCAGTTTGTCTATCTGTTTAATAGCCATGTCCCTCGTGACAGTAATATTAGTTAATTTAAATTCATCAGGAACTAAATAATTGTTAATTACTGGAATCTCATTTACATCTTCCTGTGTAAAAACTGACAAAAAATAGTCATTAAATAAGGAACACATTTCCAGTTCATTATCCATCAGCTGTCCATTCCCAATTTTCAGAGGTCCTACTTTTTCCTTCACCTTCGTCCTATACACTTGAAAGAACCCCTTTGGATTAGTCTGAGTCATTAGCAACTCTAATTTCATAGTCACGTTTAGCCTTTCTAATCCCCTTTTTTACTTCTCTTTTAAGCTGAACATATTGGTCAGTAAGGTTAACCTCTCCTCTTCTGATGCGCCTATAAATTCCCCTTTTCTCCCCTATTAGATGCTTTAGCCTACTGTTAACCCATTTGGGATTGTTATTATTAGACCTAATTTCTCTCTGGGGAATGTATGTACTCTGGGCACGGTGTACATTATTAAGAAAAAAATCATAAAAGCAGATCCCTTCATAATCATAAGTTTGATCATCGTCAATAAAATCATTAGCGATTCAGCGATTCTACCAACTCCTCCAATGTTGTTGGAGTTATATAGGGCTACAGAAAACACCACCGCCTCAGCTGTTGCTTCACCATTATGGACGGCTTACTCTCAGTGGCCCTTATATACACAACACCTCTCGTGATATACGTAATGACTTATTTTATTCATTCTAGAGTATATTCCATGTTTCTATGTTATTAATATTGTTTATGTCATATTAGTTGAATTATGATAGATAAATAAGCCAAAGAGTTGATATTAGTGTCATATTCTCCAACAATAAACTTGCCATCCCTCCCTCACACAAACAAGTCTCCAATAAGAGCATAAGAAAGGAGGAACAGTGCAGTAGGCCTGTTGGCCCATACTAGGCAGGTCCTTTACAATCCTTCCCACTAAGAACATAACAATGGAAGAACACTGCAGGTCTACTGGCCCATACAAGGCAGGCCCTTATCAAAATGACCTCTACCCAAAGCTATCCAAGAATTTACTCCCGTACCCAGTGACACAAATCAAACTCAGCTCCTCCCACTCATATATTTCTCCAATCTCTTCTTAAAGCTACCCAAGGTCCTAGCCTCGATCACCCTACTGGTAAGTGTGATGTTAAATAAGAACTTAAGAAAGTAGGAACACTGCAACAGGCCTGCTGGCCCATACTAGGCCGGTCCTTCACAAATCCAACCCACTAACAGAACAAATGCTACCCAAGCAATAAGCTCAGGTGCAAGTCCGACTCAAATCCAACCCCTCTCACTCGTGTTTTTTTTTTTTTTCCAACAAGTCGGTCGTCTCCCACCGAGGCAGGGTGACCCAAAAAAGAAAGAAAATCCCCAAAAAGAAAATGCTTTCATCATCATTCAACACTTTCACCACACTCACACATTATCACTGTTTTTGCAGAGGTGCTCAGAATACAACAGTTTAGAAGCATATATGTATAAAGATACACAACATATCCCTCCAAACTGCCAATATCCCAAACCCCTCCTTTAAAGTGCAGGTGGGAGACGGCCGACTTGTTGAAAAAAAAAAAAATTCACCTCTTTCGCAACTTTAGCTTCCTTGATTTCTACTTTGCCAGGATGGAACAGATTGTTGATTTTGACTTCCCATACATCCTGGCAAGGTTGGCTAAACGTACACCACTTTCGTATTTTTCTACAATCTCTTTCTTGAATTCTATCGTATTTTTCACTTTCTTTACCAAAGGGCTGGCACTAGGAACTTTCTTTGGGCCCATGGTGGCTCATTTTGCAGTTGCAATCAATAAACAAGCACAAAAATTGCAAAATGCTTCAGATGAGTGCTCACTCAACCAGTGACAGAGCCAGACTGAGGCGGTGTCTCGGCGGGCGGACGTGTCTGATACATATGATTCTCGGGATAAGGTATGAAATCCAGAGCAAAATTTCACCCAAAAAAGTGTTTTAAATCCGAAACATCTGATATCTGGGGTTCCACAGTATATTACAATAACTTATTCAGTTACTATTACAGTTAAATCCTCCTTCATAACAATACTTCATTCATTAATCCATATTAAATCAATTTTATTGTAACCCATTCCTTCTTATTTATTAGCTGCACCTTGATTAATATATTTCAATAATTAATAATGAAGGTATGTTATTTTAGTGCCAGGAATGCCTACATTGTTTATTCTGGACTCTATTTTGAAATTGGAATATTGTGAAATTGGCTAAATTACCAATTTATGATCACTTAATTGGATAGTTGAAATAGTTAATTGGGTGATTTCTTGTACTCAGTCGATAATATGGAAGGCACACTAACAAAATAGCCAAGAATTTTGTCGACTGGAACAACATAATTGGCCTAAAATAGGACTCAGAGTGGGCAAAATCGCCGATGCATAAATATCGTTGACACTAAAATTCACAAAAGCGTAATTTCATCAGTTTTCCATCAAATTTCATACTTTTTGTTGTATTACATTCAGAAAAAGATTCTCTACCATTTCATAAGAAAAAAAATTAAAAACATTTTTGAAAATTCTTGGACACTGGACAAGTTTCAGAGCAAGGGGTATGGACAGTGAAAGGGTAAATTTCCATAACTCTTAATGCATCCTTAACTTATTCTATGGCAACTATGTGGGTGAATGTTTTTCCCTGTTTTGGGTTTCCCTACCTCAGTGGGAGGCATGCTTCTTATTATGCAATATTATGAATACAGCCTTTCCTCACTTAGCAATGTACTCGTTTCCCCAACAACTCGGACTTGCAATGGGCTCTCTGACCAATATGCAGACCTAAATGATGTATATTAGAGTTGATTTCTTCTATTCTGTTTATTACAATATACAGTAAAGTAAAACATTTAAAAATATACCAGAAATGTTATAAATGATGCAAAGATGACATTAAAACAATATCAAAAATCCACTACCATTATAGCATGCTCCTCACTTAGCAACGAATGCGTTTACCAATGTGATCTCAGAAATAGAACTCTGTTGTTAAATGTGGAGAGGCTGTATTGTACTTTATTTTAAAATTATGTAACGATAATTAATGTAAATATATATATATACCTGTGATGTATCAGCACAATACTCTATTACTTTTCTGCAGACACACAATTTTCCATATATTTAGAGTTTATTTATGATTATTATTATTATTATTATCACACTGGCCAATTCCCACCAAGGCAGGGTGGCCCGAAAAAGAAAAACTTTCACCATCATTCACTCCACACTGTCTTGCCAGAAGGGTGCTTTACACTACAGTTTTTAAACTGCAATATTAACACCCCTCCTTCAGAGTGCAGGCACTGTACTTCCCATCTCCAGGACTCAAGTCCGGCCTGCCGGTTTCCCTGAACCCCTTCATAAATGTTACTTTGCTCACACTCCAACAGCACGTCAAGTATTAAAAACCATTTGTCTCCATTCACTCCATTCAGTACTGAATTATATACATATATTTTTTTTTTTTTTTGTGGTCTCTCTGCAGGAGAGATAAGAGTAAGGTGATGAGGGTATCAAACGAGTGC